ATGTTACCTCTTCACTGAGGCAAACTGTGAGGTGTGGACGAGGGGTAACAGCGCGGAAACATGACGGAGAAAACAGGACAGCAGGCACACCATATCCCATACGCCGCCATTAAAGAACAGGAGACCCCGCTACGGCGCATGTGCGGTTATGATGTCATGTGGCCGCGTGCGTTTTTTGGCAACGCCTACTAAACGGAGCTACATGATATACATGTTTCACAACAACAGCGTTTCCTTGATAGGCAATCGGAGATAGCTGTTTTCAACCCCCTTATATAATACAAGGACACCTATACATTGCTCCCTTGGAGCGGAGTAACAAAACTACATGAGGTCACACTAAATGCCATCAATGACAGCTACAAGCATCGTTTGTAATGAATACCTGTTGCAATAGACCATATAATACTTCATAAATAATGAAGAGTACCAATTAAATTGGTGTGGACTTAAATACCTAGTCATAAAATGTGGGGTCGTGTGGCGCAGTCGGTAGCGCGTTCGGCTCACACCCCAGAGGTTGTGGGTTCGAACCCCACCTTGTCACCGATCTTGTGTCCTTGGGAAAGGCACTTTACACGGTTTTCCTCACTTCACTCAGGTGTAAATGAGTACCTAGCTTCGGCTAGGGACGTCCCTCGGATAGGACGTAAACTGGAGGTCCCGTGTTTGAGGAGAGCCACACCTCGAGCACGTTAAAGATCCCACCACACCTTTCGAAAAAGAGTAGGGGCATGCCCCGGTGTGCGATGGTACAAACACTACTGTATGGAGTTGGTGATTCACTTCAAATCACCCGGACAGAGGCCTGGCGACCTCCGTCTTGTATATGCCACATGGTGATTTACATCATTCACCCGGACGGAGGCCTGGCGAACCCCGTCTGTATCAGCCAAATCTTGGAGAGGAGATAGGCGCCGCCAAGATTATAAGCCTGAGGAGTCATCGTGACAAGTCCAGACATGCTGCTGGCTGTCATGATGCCCCTACGGCCGTGAAGGCTATGGGACTTACATACATACATACATACATACATACATAAAATGTCTACATGTATTTTCCTGGAAAACAAAGACATCAAGACAGATGCTCCTTGAAGTGTTTTATTACTTATTGCATAGTTTCTGCAAGGGTGTACATTGCTGAGTAGCATAGTAACATAAACAGCCTCACAGGCCGGCCACTCAAGTACAGTGAGCGCTGTACCTGTTCAAACATGTACATCTTGTCATCCTATGGGGCTACTTGTGTGTTACCAGAAATAGTATTCCATGTACTTGGGCTATTGGCAGGTTGTAGCAGTTTCACAGTGATGTATACTAATGTGTTACTATTACTAGGTCATTGGTCATCCTCAACAACGAGGGATGAACAAGAACCT